ACACACACACACACACACACACACACACACCACCACCACCACCACCAAGGGCGGATGCCAGACGCCCACAAGACAGACAAAACCACACCACAAGCAAAAGACAAGACAAAAACAGGATACAAGAGACCACAGGGCGGGAGAGGAGGGACCGAACAAAAAACAACCCACAAGGGCGGGCGAGGAGGGAACAGGAGGCGGGACCAGGGAAGTCTTGGGGGCCAGCGACGGGGAACCAGGAGGCGGGAACAGGAAACTCTGGGGATCGGGGGTCTCGGAGGAGGAGGACGAGGAAGGCTCTCTGGAGACTTGGGAGGCGTCGACTTCTGGCCTGGAGGCACTGGACTGGGCGGAGCCTCTTGGACAGGCTGGGCTGGGGGCGGAGCCTCGTGGACGGGCTGGGCCGGGGCGGAGCCTCTTGGAAAGGCTGGACCGGATGTGGTGCGTCCTCCGGGACCACCGCCGAGACAGGGTGCGATGCGTCCTCCGGGACCACCGTCGAGACAGGAAGAAGAAGAAGAAGAAGAAAATATCATTTCTATAGCGCCTCTCAAGATAAAAACACGAGGCGCTTCACAAAAACAAAAACAAAAAAATATAAAAATTGTAAAAATGTAAAAAAGCATTTCGAAAATGTTTAAAAATATATTTAAAATGAGCAAGAATATGTTAAGAAAGAGAGAGAGTGAATAGGAAAGAGGGAAATCAGTGGATCCTGAGGAAGTTGGAATAGGTGGGGAGAGCAGAATAAAGAGAGAGTGGTGAAGAAGGTCATACAAAAGCCAGCTTGAACAAGTGAGTCTTCAGCTGCTTTTTAAAGGAGACCACTGAGTTCACTGATCTCAGACTCAGGGGGAGAGAGTTCCAGAGTCTGGGGGCCACAGCAGCAGATGATCTGTCACCTTTGGTCTTTAGCCTGGTGCGCTGCACAACCAGTAGGCTTTGATCACTGGACCTCAGGGACCTGCTGGGGGTGTAGGGACTAAGAAGATCACCAATGTAAGATGGTGCTTGTCCATGTAAGGCCCTATAGACCAGAACCAGGATCTAGAAATGAACCCTGAAGTTGACTGGCAGCCAGTGAAACTGGAGGAGAAGCGATGCGTCCTCTGGGACCACCGCCGAGACAGGATGTGATTCGTTCTCCGGGACCACCGCTGGAACGGGACATGGTGCGACTTCTGGGACCACTGCTGGAACTGGATAAGGTGACGGCAGGTGGAGCTCAGACTTGGACTGCAGAACAAGGACCTCTTGGACAGGCTGAACAGGTCTCTGGGATGAGGAGATCGGGCTGAGCTGGAGATGGTGGCGAGTGGAGCTTGGGCTGAGGTGTAAGTGCAGGTGACACCTGAACTGCTGGTGATGCTCTGACCACAGAAGACCTGACGGCGGTTGCGTCGTCGTCGACCTGGGGGATCTTGGGTCAACAGAGGTGTGGAGATGGCAGAAACTGAAGATGAGGAGGAATAAAAACCCACCAGGGATGAAGAGGCAGCGTTGTCGGGATCAGGTGAGGGTGTGGTGATTTGGCCCATCAGAGGTGCTGAGACAGCGCCAACTGGTTCAGGGAAGAAGGAGACGAAGCTGGTTCTGATAGTCTGGACCGGGGCAGGAAAGGACTGAAGTCTCGGAACAGAGGGTGATGAAGTGTGACAGCCCCCCGGAGATGGAAAGGTGGCGCTGACCGGACCAGGTGAGAGTGTGGAGCTGGGGCGCTTTGAAGATGCTGAGAAGGCAGCTCTTACAACAGTGTTTGCTGGCAGATTGTGATCCATCGAACAGGAGGGAGCTTGTGGGCTGCTGCAAGCGTCCTGCAGATCCTCTGCGAAATCCCAAAACTCCAACTCCTCTAAGGGATTTTGGTAACGGCTGGCCCACTGCAGGGCTCTTCCCCGTAGGAGGAGCACAGTATTAATGATCAAATCAGAGCCCGAAATGTCCGAGCCATAAAATCTCGTCACGTCCAAGATAAAAGTCAGATAGGAGTCCGGGTCACCATCAAAATTGTACATCCTGGTTATCCGCTGGGTCCTGTGTGGTCGGTTCATTCTGTCACGTTGAGAGGGCTGTTTGGACCCAAAATGCAGATACCCAGGATGACACAAGGCAGGAGTTGATATAAAGAAAATCATTTTATTGTAGGATGAGTCCAAAAATAAAAATAAATCCTAAAGGCAGGGAGCCAAAATCCAAAAATCAGGAAGTGATCAGGAGATCCAAAAACACCAGAGGAACGGGCAGACTGACAGAATAAATCACGCTGACAAACAACAATGAACCGACAAGACAATGAGAAACAGACAGGGCTTTATAGACTGGGGCATAATGGGAGGCAGATGAGCTGCAGGTGTGTGGGGAGAGAACCAGGTGAAGGCAATAACTAATCAGGGAGGAGGAGCAGGAAGGAGCAGGGGAGGACACCGGACCTGACTGGAGAAGAACACACACGAACACACACACACACACACGCGCACACACACACGCGCACACACACACGCGCACACACACACACACACACACACACACACACACACACACACACGCACACACTAAGCTGGGGAATGACACACACACACCGAGCTGGGGACAAAGAGGCTGGAGCTACAACTGGAGGGGCTGGGGATGACCTGAAAGGCTACAAACAGAAGGCACATAAATAAGACGCAGACGAAGGACACATGAGGGCGTTAAGAGACACAAAAGGGGAATCTAAAGATGGATGGAGGACATCAGGAGACACATGGGGAAAACGCAGACACAGACCATGACAATGCAACACAACATGAAGCACATCAAAGAGCCTCAAGAAGAAGAAGAAAAAAATAATTTGCACCCAACATTTCAACTGCTGTAGTTACACCCACTGAGCGGATGGGTGGAGTCAGCAGGCTGTGAGTTCATTAAAACATGGAGGCTAATTAACAAACATGGCAGGCTGATGTGTTTGCTATCAGGTATTCAGCAGCAGCCAGCGCCAGGCGGGTTTTCCCTGATGGTACAATCAGCAGCGACACGGGGGAGCTGAGTATGAGCTGGTCGAAAGGTAAAGACAACATGCTTCTGTGATCAATGTCCACTCCTAATGGGGGTTGACAGTATTGATCTGAAAATCTGCCTTCAAAGGAGGTGTGTGTGTGTGTGTGCGTGCATGTGTGTGTGTGTGTGTGTGTGTGTGTGTGTGTATGTGTGTGTGTGTGTGTGTGTGTGTGTGTGTGTGTGTGTGTGTGTGAAACAGGAAAAGTCATCATAAAAAACATATATGTGGTAGTCTAACTAATGGCCAACTGAGCCTCGCTGTCTGGTCTCTAGTCTTATCTCACATTGAGAGCTTTGAGCAGCATGTATAGCTGCTGTGGATGATGTCATCCTCGTGATGTCAGAACATGATACCATAAGGCAAACCTCTACTCATTCACCCTTAACCCCCAGAAACCCAAATTTAGAAAACAACTGCAAAATCTGTTTTTAACCTTTCGCATGTTGTTCTAGGAGGCCAGATAATCGGGCCAATTTACACATTTTAGTAGCCAATAGAGCTCCGGACCCCACGTGACTCTCAGTTAGTAGACGCCATTTTGGCAGGAAAAAAAAGGTAAACAAACACGGATGTAACCATGAACGTGAACGGGATCGGCTTGGATTTTACTTTGTCGGAGTTTACTTCACACTTTAAAACCGAAGAAATCGTTTTATATAGTCAGAAATTAAATAGACTAAACATCTCCGACCCTTACCGTGCCCCTGGGATACTTTTTAAAAACGCCAGAAGCTGTCGGCGCGGACTTCTTACCGGACCTGGCCGGGGAACCCCTTGGGATTCCCCCCGGCCGGAGGAGCTGGGGAGAGGTCTGGGACTCTCGACGCTACTGCCCGCTCCGACGCCAGAAGCTGTCGGAGCGGACTTCTTACTGGACCTGGCCGGGGAACCCTTGGGATTTACCCAGAGGAGCTGGCTCCGGCGGCTGGGGAGAGGGAAGTCAGGGACTCTCGACGCTACTGCCCCCGCAACCCGACTCCGGATAAGCGGATGAAAATGGATGGATGGATGGACAAATAACAGATTTACATGTAAGTAGTTTAAATAGAGTGCTGTGCTGTTTAAATGTATAAACTGAACGCCAAGAGAAATCACTAGTTTGATTTTTTTCCGTGAATAAAATAAGTATGCCAGGCAGGAGCGTCTCAGGATCTGCCTGAGATCTATCTCGGTGAGACAGATAATAGCAATCCAAAGTGCTTTTTAAGTGTGATCTGACAAGTGATCAACCATTGCTTAAAAATTAAATACAGCTTAGCCGGTTAATTGCTGTAATCATAAAACACGTAAACGGCAGCACGCAGAAATCACGAGGCAACGTTTTACGTGACGTTTACTTGTTGCTATGAGTAATAAGACAGAAAAAGCCACGCCAAAATAAGTTTAGGAAGCCCACTAAGAATCGTAATAAAAGCATTTAAAATAAATACCATACACAGCTGAGGAAACGTTGGTTTAAGTACCTGATATGAAGTGGTCGCTGCATAAGCGAAATCCTTTACTCTCGGGATCCCACAGTTTCATTTTAGCCCGGTCATTAGCGCGTTTTATTACAATGATCCAGCGTTTGCGGCGCTCCGGATCTTGGGGAATCCTGTAGATGGCTCATTCCTTATGTCGTCCGCGTCTGTTCTGCATCCTGGGGCACAACAGGAATCTACCATATTTCCTGTTTGAGTTTTCTGACAATAACAAATAGTCCAGCTGCCGGCTTCTGCCTGCCAAATGGCGCCGTTTCGATTTGAACTGTTGCATGCCGGGAAACGTGACGTCAACTCCTGGAGCTCTATAGTGTTGCAGAACTGAACAATAGGACCTATTAGCACTGTAAATGTGGTTTTAAAAAGAAAAAAAAATGGGGAAGGATTATTTTTGTAGACTTAAATCTGATGTTGTAATATTACAACCGTGGGTCTCTGGGGGTTAAACCGTTGTCTCTCTCTCATCAGGACCGGGCTGCTACCTTGGCAATGATGCTGCAGAGCTGAGGTCCATCCTGGGTTAGGGACAGCAGGTTGCTAATGGCGCTGCCGATGGCATGAACACAGTCTGATGACTCAATCTGTTTGATCAGGACCTACGAGTAAGATGACACCATTAATCATTTGCTTTCAGGTGTAGAAACAATCAAACCAGGTGAACTGAGGTTTGGCACATGCTGAGAGAATTTTCAGGTAGAGGAGAAGATGATCTGTAGGATTTAAATCAGCTTCTCTAATATTATAACTGCTTGCATGAGTGTTTTGATCGAGCCCTTTCATCCCTGATACCAGTCTGAGTCATTTAGGGGGCTCGTGTCGCGTATCGATTCAAAGGAAACTCCAGGACTGGAGTCTTGACTTCAGTTTTTAGTTTAACTTCAATCTGTATAAAATTTTCAAACACTGGAGGTTAATCTCATTTCATACCCGGATCTCATTGGCTAAAGCCATGTCGATCATGTTGCTGAATGAGTCACTGACGTCGGTGAGAATCTCATGGATCGCCTCCCTCATGGATTTAAGGAAGAATTCATCGTTAGTGTGAAGGCACCTGCAGGGAAGGAAAAGTTTATTTAAACTTGAACTTGTGCAAAGAATAGACTTCCTCTTTCATTTCTAAAATTGAACTTGTTAAAAATGTTCTGATTAACTTTGAGGATTACAAGCAAGTGAACAATTAACCATGCATTAACCCTAAGAAGTCATTACGCCCTCTGTAAAGCTAAACTGTAGCAAACGACACTAATAAGAAATAAGTTATCCAGAGTTCACGTTGTAAGGAGACTGCAGGCACTGAACAGTGGCAGTAAGTGCCCAAGTTGTGCTGTCATGATTAAAACTAATGAGGAAAAATTATTAAACTAAAATTATTTTGTGACACTTGAATCAATCTATAGTATTTTAAATAAAATGCATTGGCCTACTTTGGATAAGGAACATGCAAATCAAATACAAATATTTGTAACATTCAGGAATTGGCTAAAACACATGTGAAGATAACCAGTGATTAAAGAAGAACAATAACATAAAGGAAAATTAAAAGGCAGTGCTGCTGTTAATTCAATTAAATTCAATTCAAGTTTATTTATATAGTGCCAAATCACGACAAGAGTCGTCTCAAGGCACTTCACATAATAAACATTCCATTCAGGTCAGTTCATTAAGCCAATCAGAAATAATGTTTCCTATATAAGGAACCCAGCAAATTGCATCAAGTCACTGACTAGTGTCAGTGACTATACAGCAATCCTCATACTAAGCAAGCATAAAGTGACAGTGGAGAGGAAAACTCCCTTTTAACAGGAAGAAACCTCCAGAGAATCCCGGCTAACTATAAGCAGCCATCCACCACGACTCACTGGGGATGGAGAAGACAGAGCAGACACACACACACACACACACACACACACACACACACACACACACACACACACACACACACACACACACACACACACACACACACACGCACGCACGCACGCACGCACGCACGCACGCACGCACGCACGCACGCACGCACACACACACACAAAGACAAGTAATGTGTCTATGGTTATATTGTGATGTCTTAGTAAATATTCTATTTGGTGAGAGATAAACTTTATTGTATTTATCCTAGTGGATCTATAGTGAAACAGATAAACTAGTAGTAGCACATCCAACGTCAAGGAAAGCAAAAAGCCATTATCAGGAGAGGGAGAATGTTTTAGTGGTTAGCAGCAGTGTGCTAGACGATGGCCCCCTCCATGAGGCCACCACAGCTCAGCAGAACATTGTTGTAGCTTCTTCTGGGGAGAAAAACACTTACAGAGAAAATAAAGTTAAGAGCTGAAATTGCAGAAAATAATACAGTTAAAGAACAGATTGTAGAAGAAAGCAGTAGAGTGTGAAAAGTGGTCAGTGTGTCCTCCAGCAGTCTAAGCCTATAGCAGCATTACTACAGAGATAACTCAGGACAATCTAGCCTATTTAGATGGAGGTATGTTGGAGGCAGGGCAAGGGAGAGCCGTCTTTACCGACTGTACACTCCACCTCCCTCTACTCCCCCACTTGTCCAGATCTAGGCTAACATCAGATTTTAACCATAGGCCCTATCAGATAAAAATGTTTTAAGCCAAGTGTTAAAAGTAGACAAGGTGTCTGCCTCACGGACTAAAGCTGGGAGCTGGTTCCACAGGAGAGGAGCCTGATAACTAAAAGATCTGCCTCCTATCCTAATTTTAGATATTCTGGGAACCACCAGTAAACCTGCAGTCTGAGAGCGAAGTGCTCGGTTAGGAACGTATGGAACAATCAGATCACTGATGTATGATGGAGCTTGATTATTAAGAGCTTTATATGTGAGAAGAAGGATCTTAAAATCTATTCTGAATTTAACAGGTAGCCAATGTAGGGAAGCTAAGACAGGAGAGATATGATCTATCTTTTTAATTCTCATCAGAACTCTAGCTGCAGCATTTTGGACAAGCTGAAGACTTTTAACTACATTCTGTGGACTTCCTGAGAGTAATGAATTACAGTAATCCAGACTTGATGTAATAAATGCATGAACTAGTTTTTCAGCATCACTCCTGGAAAGGATGCTTCTAATCTTAGCAATATTCCGAAGGTGGAAAAAGGAAATCCTACAAACTTGTGAAACCTGGGATTTGAATGACATGTCCTGGTCAAAGATAACACCAAGGTTCCTTGCTTTGTTCTCGGAGGCTAATGTAATGCCATTCAGATCAGGTGATTTGCTAAGCAATTTCCTTTTCTGGATTTCTGGTCCAAAGATGAGAACTTCCGTCTTGTCTTGACTTAAAAGCAAAAAGTTTAGAGTCATCCAATGTTTTTATGTCTTCAAGACAAGCCTGTAATCTACCCAACCGATTAGGTTCATCAGGGTTAATAGATAATTATAACTGAGTATCATCAGCATAACAGTGGAAGTGTATCCCATGCTGTCTAATGATTTTACCAACTGGGAGTATATATATTTATATATAGTAAAAAGAATTGGTCCAAGCACTGAACCCTGTGGTACTCCACAAGTAACCCTGGAGAATGAAGACGATTTGTCATGTACATTTACAAAATGAAATCTATCAGACAGGTAGGATTTATACCAGCCTAACGCTGTTCCTTTGATCCCTGCAACATGTTCAAGTCTTTCTAAAAGAACATTGTGATCAACTGTGTCAAAGGCAGCACTGAGATCTAACAAGACTAGAACAGACACAAGATTCTTATCTAAGGCCATGATAATATCCTTTGTAACTCTCACTAACGCAGTTTCAATGCAGTGATACTCTCTAAAACCAGACTGAAATTCCTCAAACAGAGCATTAGTGTTTAAATGCTCACATACTTGGATGGCCACTATTTTCTCCAGGACTTTGGATAAAAATGGAAGGTTAGATATTGGTCTATAATTCATTGGGTCATCTGGATCCAGAGAAGGCTTCTTAAGTGAAGTTTTGATTACAGCAACCTTAAAATATTGTGGTACATACCCATTTACTAAGGATAGATTGATTATATCTAGAATGGGGGCAGTAACCAAAGGAAATGCATCTTTAAATAATTTGGTTGGGATTGGATCCAAAATACAAGTTGAAGGTTTAGATGAAGCTAATATTTTTGATAACTCTGAAAGCTCAACTGGATCAAAAGGGTTCAAGCACAGATGAGGTTCTACAGTCACCTCTGATGCTGCCTCACTTACTGAGGAAGAAGAAATCGCATTAGGGAGGATGCTAAAGATTTTGTTTCTAATAGAATTAATTTTACTTGTAAAAAAATCCCATGAAGTCATTGCTGCTGAGGGCTAAGGGAATAGATGGCTCAGAGCTATGATTCTGTGTAAGTTTAGCAACTGTACTGAAAAGAAATTTAGGATTACGCTTATTCTCCTCAATTAATGCTGAGAAATCATCAGTTCTAGTTTGTCGAAGCTTATTTTTTATAAAGCACAAGACTATTTTTCAAGGAAAGGTAGGCCTCCTCATGGTGCGTAGAGCGCCATGTTCTCTTCAATTTCCTAGAGTTTTGTTTTAAGGCTCGTAAATGAGAATTAAACCAGGGAGCCCACTTCCTTGTCCCCAATTACCTTCTTTTTTAAAGGGGCAACATCATCTAATGCCACACGTAAAGAGAAATTAACATGATGAACTAAGGCATCAATTTGTGAGGGGCTAGAACTGAAAATATTGCCCTCTGCTACACGCCTCTGAGATGCTGAGGACAGTAAAGATGGAACAGTTGATTTAAAAGATGCAACTGCGTTGTCAGATAGAGACCGATTATAGTGAAATTTACTTTCATGTCTCGAGAACTCAGTTATAAAAAACTCAAAGGTTATCAGAAAGTGGTCCGAGGGGACCGGATTATGTGGAAATATCGTTATTTCCTCACACTCAATGCCATAAGGCAGCGCAAGGTCTAATGTATGATGGCAGGAGTGGGTGGAGCTATGTATTCTTTGAGTAAAACCAATTGAGTCTAAGATATTACTAAAGGCTACATTGAGGTTATCATTTTCGATGTCCACATGAATATTAAAATCCCCCACTACAATGACCTTATCAGTATTTAGCACTAAATCTGATAAAAAATCAGATATCTGATCCAAAAACTCAGAGTAAGGGCCCGGTGGACGATATAAAACTACAAACAAGAGTGGTTTTACAGTTTTGCAATCTGGATTAGGAAAACTAAGAATAAGATGTTCAAACGAACTGTAGCTATTAATTGGTATGGGACTGATTAATAAGTCTGAATGAAAAATGTTTGCTACTCCTCCTCCTCGCCCTGTACTTCGAGCAATATGATGATTTAAATAATTTGAAGGAGTCGACTCGTTTAAGCTAACATAGTCCTCTTGCTGCAGCCAGGATTCTGTGAGAGAGAGCAAAGAGATCTGATTATCACAAATCAAATCATTAACTAACAAAGTCTTAGAAAAAATGGATCTAATGTTCAACAACCCACATTTAATTTTTCTAGTTTTCTGCTCAGTTGAATTTGTTCTAACATTTATGAGATTTCCACGATTTGCTTTATTAAGCCTGATATTTAATCTGTGTGATTTTGGCCGTGGGCAGAACACTGTCTCTATGGGGTAGTGGGTGGGTAACAGTACAGAAGCTGCAGAGGGGTGGGTTAAACTACGACTCTGCTTCCTGGTCTGGATCCTGGGTTGTCATGAAGGACTAATAAAACTGGCCATTTTCCTAGAAAGAAGAGCTGCACCATCCAAAGAGGGATGGATGCCGTCTCTCCGCATCAGACCAGGTTTTCCCCAAAAAGTTTTCCAATTATCAATGAAGCCCACGTTGTTTTCAGGACACCACCTAGACAACCAGTGGTTGAAGGACAGCATGCAGCTAAACATGTCGTCACTGGTCCGATCGGGTAGGGGGCCAGAGAAAATTACGGAGTCCGACATTGTTTTGGCAAACTTGCACACCGAAGCAACATTTTTACATACACAAACATATTTACGCTTATCCTTAGCCAGCAGCTCCCCGGAGGTTCGGGGAGCCGTCAAGCTGAAGAAGGAGGCCTACAGGGCGTGGCTGGTCAGTGGGTCTCCGGAGGCAGCAGACAGGTACCGGATAGCCAAGCGGGGTGCAGCAAAATCTCGGGCGTGGGAGGAGTTTGGTGAGGCCATGGAGAAAGACTATCGATCGGCTCCAAAGAGGTTCTGGCAAACTGTCCGGCGCCTCAGGAGAGGAAGGCAGCAACTCGCTCACACTGTTTACAGTGGGGACGGGGAGCTGCTGACGTCAACTGAGGCTATAGTCGGACGGTGGAAGGAATACTTTGAGGAGCTCCTCAATCCCACCAATGCGCATTCCGAGGAGGAACCAGAGCTGGGAGGCCTGGGGATGGACTGTCCGATCTCGGGGGCAGAAGTTGCTGAGGTAGTCAAACAACTACACAGCGGCGGAGCCCCGGGGGCGGATGAGGTTCGTCCTGGGTATCTCAAGGCTATGGATGTTGTAGGGCTGTCATGGTTGACAGATCTCTACAACATTGCGTGGTCATCGGGGGCAGTTCCTAGGGAGTGGCAGACCGGGGTGGTGGTCCCCATCTTTAAGAAGGGTGACCTGAGGGTGTGTTCCAACTATAGGGGGATCACACTCCACAGCCTCCCTGGAAAGGTCTACGCCAAGGTACTGGAGAGGAGGGTCCGATCGATAGTTGAATCTCAGATAGAAGAGGAGCAATGTGGTTTTCGTCCTGGCCGTGGAACTGTGGACCAGCTCTATACCCTTGCAAGGGTGATGGAGGGGGCATGGGAGTTTGCCCAACCAATCCACATGTGCTTTGTGGATTTGGAGAAGGCTTATGACCGTGTCCCCAGGGGCACCCTGTGGGGGACGCTCCAGGAGTATGGGGTGGGTGGCTTTCTGTTAAGGGCCATTCAGTCCCTTTACCAGAGGAGCGTGAGTTTGGTCCGCATAGCCGGTAGTAAGTCGGACCTGTTCCCAGTGAGGGTTGGACTCCGCCAGGGCTGCCCTTTGTCACCGGTTCTGTTCATCACTTTTATGGACAGAATTTCTAGACGCAGCCGTGGTGTGGAGTGTGTCGAGTTTGGTGGCAGGAGAATCTCGTCTCTGCTTTTTGCGGATGATGTGGTCCTCCTAGCTTCATCCAGCTCTGACCTTCAGCTCTTGCTGGGTAGGTTCGCGGCCGAATGTGAAGCGGCTGGGATGAGGATCAGCACCTCCAAATCTGAGACCATGGTTCTCGACCGGAAAAGGGTGGCTTGCCACCTCCGGGTCGGGGGAGAGGTCCTACCTCAAGTGGAGGAGTTTAAGTATCTCGGGGTCTTGTTCACGAGTGAGGGTAGGAGGGATCGGGAGATCGACAGGCGGATTGGTTCGGCGTCTGCAGTGATGCGGACGCTGAGCCGATCTGTCGTGGGGAAGAGGGAGCTGAGCCAGAAAGCCAGGCTCTCGATTTACCGGTCGATCTACGTCCCAATCCTCACCTATGGTCATGAGCTTTGGGTAATGACCGAAAGAACGAGATCGCGGATACAAGCGGCCGAAATGAGTTTCCTTCGTAGGGTGGCCGGGCTCAGCCTTAGAGATAGGGTGAGGAGCTCGGACATTCGGGAGGGACTCGGAGTAGAACCGCTGCTCCTCCGGATCGAAAGGAGCCAGTTGAGGTGGTTTGGGCATCTGGTCAGGATGCCTCCTGGACGCCTCCCCGGGGAGGTGTTTCGGGCATGTCCTGCCGGCAGAAGGCCCCCGGGTCAACCCAGGACACGTTGGAGAGGTTACATCTCCAATCTGGTCCGGGAACGCCTTGGGGTCCTGCCGGAGGAGCTGGTGGACAAGGCCGGGGAGAGGACGGCCTGGAGCTCCCTAGTTGGGATGCTGCCCCCGCGACCCGGACCCGGATAAGCGGAGGAAGACGACGACGACGACGACGACGACGACTTAGCCAGCAGTTTCAGATAAGATTTAATGTCGCCCGCTCTGGCCCCAGGTAAACATTTAACTATGGTTGCTGGAGCCTCTAATGCCACGTTTCTGACTATGGAGCTGCCAATGATCAGAGTCGGCTTGTCAGTGGGTGCATCAATGAGCGGGGAAAATCTATTAGAAAAGTGGACGGGTTGGTGGTGGCCCACGGGCTGGGTTCTATGCATGCTGCGTACCGTCACCCAGCCGGCCTGAGGTCCCGGCTGCTCGGATTCTACTGGAGGGTCGCTACGGGGTGGTTCTGAGCTAGTTAGCCCTGCGCTAGCTAAGTAGCTATGGCTGTTTACGGGTTTTTCAACAGCGCGGAGCCGGGACTCCAATTCCGACACCCTCGCCTCCAAAGCTACAAAAATGCTACATTTATTACACGTACCAATATCACTAAAGGAGACAGAGGAGTAACTAAACATCTGACACAGAGAGCAAGAGATAGGAGATGGAGAAGCAGAGACAGAAGTAGCCATAGCCATGCTGAGGCTAAGCTAACTGGACGAGCAAACTGTTCAGTACCAAATAAACTGCGTGTAAACTCAAATGGTTCCCTAAAAGCTAGGTGGAACAACAGAAAATTGTGTGTTTTAGCGTGCTTTTGTGCTACAATAACTCAGAGATGTCCTAGTACAGAGAAATTAAATCAGTTTTAGCGAGCCCCAAACACCAAACAGCAACACTGAAAACAAGAAACAGGAAACGCCTTACCGCAGAGAAGAGCTGCTACAGGCTGTCCAAACAGGAAGTCTAGTGTACATACGTGTTATGTTTTTTGTCAGTTTTTGCTGAACTTAATGCCACGTAGCATCAGTATGGCAATCATATCTGAACATCATGAAGAATTTTTCCCACTGATGCCACCAGTGTGTTTTGCCATCACTCTGCCATATTTACCTGCACTGACCTTTGGAACCACCACAAGATGTTTGTGAGTTTAGTCTTCAGGCCAGATGAAATGAGAGCATGGTTGCAAAGCAGAATGCAGCTAAATAAATTTGATATTCATGGTTTCTTATTGTTGTTTGGAGGAGTAACAGAAATACAAACTGGATTAATTGTACATGACTAAATGGTTTAAAGACAATAGTTTTAATAAATCAGTCATTCAGTCATGCAGTTATTGTATTCTTTTTGCTTAGTGCTTACATGCATTTTAATGCTGAATGTAGAAATACTGACATAATTATATTTATCTTTTAAAAATGGCTTTTCTTTTGTTTATGTGTTGTGTTTTGGTATTTTACCTCATGCAAAAAGTTTCATGATGTTTAAATAATGGGGGATCCTTAGCTTTACACATAATAATTCTTAACTTCACTGACCATTTGAACTTGTATTTTATGAAATGGTATTAGTGAATGAAATGAGTACCTTGTGGGGACCAGGTGGTGGTTTGTTTGTATTTATGTTTTGATACTTTTTTGATGAATCATTTTTATCAGTGGTGGTTTGCATGTTACCTCTCGGTGATGTTAGTCAGCTCCATGCACTTTTCCAGCAGTGATTTTTCATACTGAAACAATAGAAAATTACTGATTAGCAAAACAAGCTAATAAATACATGTTTATAAACATGCTACAATCTTTGTGAGTGACAGGATGCTACTTTTGTGATTGAGCCAATTATTACCTTCTGCATCTCAGGCGGAGTGCTCCGGGCGGCACTGTACCCGTGAACCAGTGAACGAACGTGACAGTCGGCCCGTACAGCCGTGCTGTGGACTCTCTGCCAGCGGCCTTTCTCCAGCCGTTGGAACATCTTTCCCAGCTCAGTGCTGACCACCAGTGCACGCCGTAGCAGTGTCTGCAAATTGTTCCTAGCCACGTGGTCCCCAGCCCCAATCCCAGAGGTCACTATCAGCTCGCCTTGCTGGGCGTCTTCCACCACCCCAATGGGTTTGGCCTGGAGGACACACATACACTCCACCTCCGTCATGTGGCGAAGGTCCTCCATCCACCGCTGGACCGAGTCCACCTGCAGGGACTGCATACGGGTA